ATGTCCTTTCTTTTTTTTTTTTTTTTTTTCCTTTTTGTCTTTTTTTACTGACCGGTAATGGGATCGCAACCCTCGGTGTCACGCCCGTACCGGGAACTGGCAACGGGATCACAACCCTCGGTGTTGCGTCTGCACCGCGCTCAGCCAGTGAGCAGGAACCGGTCTCCACATGGGATCCGAACCCTCGGCGGGAGCGCCGCCACGCTCCCAAGTGGCGCACTCTCCAGTGCGCCACCGGGCCGGCCCATAAAATGTCCTTTCCTTGGCTCACTCATTCTATTCCACTTGAGTGACTTAGCTGATAAGTAACAGGGCAAAGAAGCACTGCCAAGTGGATCCCATGTTTTCTCCCTTTGCTGGGAATTGCCAATGCACAGGCCGGACACTCTCTCTCTCTCTCTCTCTCTCTCTCTGTGTGTGTGTGTGTGTGTACTTGTTAGGTATTTCCTTTCCAGTGAGTTCACAATTCAATCCAGAGGCAGCATTTGCAGAAAAGCTCATCCTTTTATAACCAGTATTTCTCTTTTCTCAAACCAGATCTTAAAGCTTTCTGTTTCCTGTCTCTGTTTCTCATTTTAAAGATCTTTGGAAATGTGTCTATAAAATGCATTCATTTTTTTACTGATTACCTGCAACCTACAAAGGAGTATGTAGGAGTATGCCAGAAATTCAGTGGTGATCGTCACAGACCCTTGCTCTAATGGAGCATATAGTCTTATAGGAGGTCCAGATAAATACTTGAGATTATAATGTGTGCCCATGAGGGCGCATCGGTAGTATGAGAATACACGTAATTGGAACCAGATGTAGACGTGGATGGAGGGTGGTCAGTCATTACTTCCCAGGGGATGAGGCACCTGAGCTGAGACCTGAAAGATGAGAGTGGTTGAGGTGTTATGTGGTTGAGGCAGGGTGCTTTGCAGAAGAGTACCTAGGGATGCCTGTCAGAAGAGAGGCATTTGCCTTGTTCTTAATATGCTGAAGGTCATTCAGTGTGGCTGAGCAGTAGAGTGTGTGTGTGTCAGTGCATAGTAAAAATTGATTTGGAGAAGAATGTAGAGCTAAATTATTCAGTCTTCACTTGTAATAACAGTAACTAGCACTTAAATAACACTGTGCCAAGCATTGCTGCAAGTAATTTTAATATATTAACACATTTATTTCCCACATCGAACCTAAGAAAAAAGTCACCATTATTGATAGAGTTTGGATGTGTTGTCCCTACCAAAACTCATGTGAAAATCTGATCTCCAATGTGGCAGTGTTGGAAACTGATTGAGTCATGGGAGTGGATCCCTCCTGAGTGTATTAATGCTCTCCCTAGGTGGGGGAATTAATGAGTGAAATCTTACTCTATTAGCTCCCGTGAGAGCTGGTTGTTTAAAAAGACCCTGGTGCTTCCCCCCTCACTCTCTCTTGCTTCCTCTCGCCATGTGATCTGTTTGTACCCGCCGGCAGCCTGCCACTTTCCGCCATGAGTAGAAGCAGAAGGAAGCCCGTGCCAGACGCAGCTGTCCCAGAATTGTAAGCTAAATAAACCTCTGTTCTTTATACATTACCCAGTCTCAGGTATTTCTGTTATAGCAACACAAAACAGACTAATACAATTATGATCTCCACTTACAGACAAAAGAAATGAGACACCTAGAGACTACATGACTTCTCTAAGTTCACAGAAGGAGCCAGTGGCATAAGTAGGGTTGATGCTCTAGTCAGCCTGGCACGAAGAAGCACATTCAGATCCTGGCTCCACAGGGTGGTCCATGGACCAGTAGTATCAGCATCACCTGGGAGCTTGCTAGAAATGCAATAACTCAAGCATCAACCCACACCTACAGAACCAGAATCTGCACTTTAACACAAATCCTGGAGTGGTTCTGAGCACCTTTGAGTTTGAGGAGATTTGCTGTAATCTATACTGCTTCTCTGAGAAGAAATTCCCTGAGAAGGAAGCTGGGCATTATCTTAAGGCAAGTGGAATCAGGGAAAGGTTTGGAGTAAAGAACTGGCAAAGTCAAATTTGTTTTTCAGCTAATTGGTTTAGTTCAATCACTCTTGCTTCAGTGGAAGAGGATGACTCTAGAGGCAGGCGGGCCAGTTAAAGAGCTATTGTTAGCCGAGTGAAAGAAGGTGACAGAGTGAAATAGGGTGGTGGTAGTAATAAAGGAAGGAAGTAGGTGAATCTAAGAGGTACCATTGACAGAACTTGGAGATTCTTTGAGGATATGAACTGAGAGATGATGAATCTAAGAGGTACCATTGACAGAACTTGGAGATTCTTTGAGGATATGAACTGAGAGATGGTGAATCTAAGAGGTACCATTGACAGAACTTGGAGATTCTTTGAGGATAGGAACTGAGAGACGGTGAATCTAAGAGGTACCATTGACAGAACTTGGAGATTCTTTGAGGATATGAACTGAGAGATGGGTAGGAGTTGGTTCATCCCCAGTTTCTGGCTCGAGCAACTGGTTGGATCGTGGTGTCATTTATTGGATGACAGCAATGTATGGTGTTTGGATATTGAACTAATCACAACAGGAAGTAAGGTGGAGAGCAGGAGAGGGAAATGGTGAATTTACTTTTAGATCACAATGATAAAGTCGGCGATGGCTGCGGAACAGCCAGCCAGAGCTATTCAGGCAGGGCCAAAGAGATGGGGGAGGGAATCCGTATAAATTACTTGGACAGTTTGGAAGGGCTCCCAAGGCAAAGCCTATGTCAAAATTTTTAACTGGCTTGCCCTTGATTTCCCATCACTGGTTTGGTTTGTTTCATTTCCTGAAAAAAGGGCCCATTGATCCTACCAGATTCTTAAGGGCTTCTGTGATCACAAAGTAGTCTGATGTAGAGATAGATAAATGCTTAAGTTGATCATTTTGTGGGTATCTGAGGTGTTTTGGCAGAGAGAAGTCCTCCTCCTCTTCTTTCTCTTTATAACCCCTTCCAGGGTACCAAAAGGTAACCAAGAAAAACGATGACAGTCAGAGAGGAAAAAGACAATTACAAGAACACAGAAATGCAAGTTTGTTTAACTCACGTCTGATTCAGAACTTCCTGTGTAAACTCAAGCATTTGGTTTTTGTTTCTAAAGAGATCGTGTTTTCTAGATTGAAAAATATTTTTAAAAAATCAAAGCTTCTCTAAAATGTTCTAGATAAACACTTTACAGTACTGTAGTAGAAAAGTTTCTAGGCTTGCCGTAGACACCCAAATTAATCCAGCTTTACTCAAAATGTTGTTGGCAAGTATAATAAAAGTAAGAGGCAAGCTTGTCAGTGAGGTGGTGTTACATTAAAACACAAATCTGCTACTCTTGTTTAGGTAGAACAGTCCCAGAATTGGCAACTAATGGTGACATGGGAATAAATAGAACAAGTGTAGAAAACAGACATCAGAGTTTACCTTTGCCATCAAGCAATTTGGATTATAGCTTTAGGCATATATCACAACACATATGTTAAGAAATATCTTCTATGATACATATGTTTGTAANGAGGTGTTTTGGCAGAGAGAAGTCCTCCTCCTCTTCTTTCTCTTTATAACCCCTTCCAGGGACCCAAAGGTAACCAGGAAAAACGATGACAGTCAGAGAGGAAAAAGACAATTACAAGAACACAGAAATGCAAGTTTGTTTAACTCACATCTGATTCAGAACTTCCTGTGTGAACTCAAGCATTTGGTTTTTGTTTCTAAAGAGATCGTGTTTTCTAGATTGAAAAATATTTTTAAAAAATCAAAGCTTCTCTAAAATGTTCTAGATAAACACTTTACAGTACTGTAGTAGAAAAGTTTCTAGGCTTGCTGTAGACACCCAAATTAATCCAGCTTTACTCAAAATGTTGTTGGCAAGTATAATAAAAGTAAGAGGTAAGCTTGTCAGTGAGGTGGTGTTACATTAAAACACAAATCTGCTACTCTTGTTTAGGTAGAACAGTCCCAGAATTGGCAACTAATGAATAAATAGAACAAGTGTAGAAAACAGACATCAGAGTTTACCTTTGCCATCAAGCAATTTGGATTATAGTTTTAGGCATATATCACAACACATATGTTAAGAAATATCTTCTATGATACATATGTTTGTAATAATTGTGTTAAATTTTAATCCATATACTTTGCTAATAAAAATGCTAGCATTTACACACGACAGTATTGTGGATGTGAAATGATGGCTACAATGACTTCAGGATTTTCTTACATTTTATGTATAAGAATCACACAGTTTGTTAACTATTCTTTTTTAGTTCCCACATTTCTGAAGTCGAAAATGACAGCTGAGGAGGTGTATTTGGTTTTCAAATGGATAACATACACCAAAGATAGTATGAAAAAAATAGTGAGAGAAAATAGCATTAGCACATATGGAATGCATGCTTTTTGCTTCAATAAGTAACGCTTTAGATTGCTGTAGTATATTGTATATCCATGTAGGCTGGACACACAGACATTTTAATTCAATTTTAGGAAACCTAGATTATGAATTATTGTATGCCTGCTTCTGGAAAGTAGCCAGATTTTTTCTGAAAATAGCAGACATCTCATTGACTCCTTTTTCTTAAAATCTGTCATAAAATACTCTAAGTGATAATGTTATTCATTCAAATAAATTAAACCAAATAAAATTCCAAAATTCCATTTTCCATCTTTTTTACAACAATGAATCTGTGCCCTGTGTCTTAAGACTATTACAAAATCTCAGGAGGCAATTCTAAAGCGTTATCTGGCCACTATGTTGCCTCCACACATGTCATCAAAATGAGAAATCAGAAAAGCTCAACATATAAAATTCAATAACAGTTAGCTTAAATGGTTTTTAAAACCATCAGCTCAAATGGCTAAGAAATTTCAAGCTATCAACTTACTTGCCAAGCAAAAGTACTCTTCCAAGCAGTCACTAGAAAGAACCTCTTGTCCTTAAAAAAAAATCAAAGGCATCAAAATACCATAAAACACATATTATCAAACACAAAGGATACATTAGCAAGGGAAAAACTCACTTTTTTGTAAAGCCTCTTCTTCCTGTGATTTATACAGTATGAAAGAATATGTGATTATTTTTCTTCCAACATATGCGTATGTCAACTCCAAAGAGAATGAAATGGTCCACCAGCACTATCTGAGGATCCCTCCCAACTGCAGCTTTTTCAACTTTGTAGAAGAAAATAGTTGGGTCCCTGTGTTTCCTCTAAGTCTTGTAATGTGCACATAGCTGACTTCTACTGGTCTGAAAAAGCACTCCTTGTCAATTTTTACTTAAAATTATGAATAACAAATTCTCTGCAGGACATCCTTAAAGGGAAATTCTGCTAGGATTAGTATTTGAAATATCTGGATAAGCTCCAAAAAGTTTAAAATACACTGTGTTCATACAGACACATACACACTTCAGAAATTTCCACTGACTAGGCTAAACTAAGGGTGTATTTATGAAAAAAAAATTATCTGAAAGGATGATGTGTTTTCTGTTTCCTTGATTAATCTGTTTTTGGTTTTGTTTTCCTTGTTTTCTGATGGCTACCAGAAACCCTACTTTTAGATCAGAAATGGATGAACTGCAGAGTGTTTCTGTTGAACTCTCTGGAAGAGATGAGATCGCACGTTCTCACCTGCAGAGTTCTTGGTAGTTTGAGAGATGAGCCCTGGGTTGTGGTCTCTATGACTGCCTTCTTGGGAAGTCCAGGAACTTTGAATCTTGGATTTGAATAGAATAACTCAAGATAGTCCCCTGCTTTCTGCACCTTCAATGTGAACTTTTGTGCTTTTGCCTGTTTCCCTATGAGTTGGCAACAATTGTTATGTCACATCCACTGCTATATGACTTCATTTAAACACAGACTCATCTGGTCTTTTGAAAATTTTCCTTCAAATGTGAAAAGTGGCCAGAGATGCCAAGAGTTGAATCTGAAGAAATGTTTGGATATTGAACTAATTCACAACAGGAATTCTCAGTGCATCACACTGATCCTCAAAGCAAGTGACATTGGCTCCTGGAATCTCCATTTGAGGCCATTTCTTCAGTTTGGAAGGTGGGGTGAAAGAAAAAATATTCTGCTTTAACTTCATTTATCCCCAGACCAGCCTTAAACTGTCCTTAGAACAAATGCTGATATGGACATAATAATATATTAATAATTTCTGAGGTCAAACAACTCAATAAACAGTCAAGGGACTTAAGCTATGGAAATGTAGAGCCAATGAACTCTATGCTTCATTACTCACCTGACTTTGGTGATTAAGACATTATGAAAATGAAATCACGGTGACTAGCAACAACCAATTCTGATTCGGTGCAAGGACACAAGTACATTTCATTAATGATAGATTTTAATCCTCATGATACCACTGCTAAACAGGCATCATTTCTCCCCTTTTTTAGTAGGCATGGAAGCAGAATCCTGGAGATATAAAAGTGCCCATATGCCCATCTAGTTATGCTTCCTGAGAGAGTAATCCACATTCACTGATTCAACTTCCAAAACTCCTTGTCTTTCCTCAAGTTATTGTCATCACTTCCAAAACTCCTTGTCTTTCACTTGAACTACTCCACCAAAAATGCTTCATTAAGATCATAGAAGATCTTAATTAGTAGCAACCCAAAAAGCACTGTCTTTAATCTCACCGGAAATTTGTCATCTCTGGCAATGTCTATCTGTTTTTGAAATTCTCTTCCCTTGGTTACCCTAAGTTAACTCTCCTGTTTCCTCCTTGCTCTTAGCATCTTTAGTCACCTCCCCCTTTATTCACCTCACTCTTCCCTAGAGCTACCTCCTCTGTTCTCTGTACTCCCTCCATGGTGTTCCTTATCAACACAATTAAATTATGTGCTATGACTCCCAAATTTGTACTCTCAACTGACATCACTCTTCAAGGTTCCAGACCTGTATCCATTTATCTATTGGATATTTTTGCCTAAGGTCCCCAGGCACCTCAAACCCAACAGACCCAAGTGTAGCTCTTTATCTCACTCCAAATCCATTGGTTTGCTGTATTTTCTGCCTCAGGCCACGGCACAATCACCCACTCATTTTAGACTCTTCCCTTTCCTCATTTATTCTCTACCATCCCCCTCATTGTCCAACTTGTGTTGGCTCTACTTTGTTAAGTGATATCTCAGACTGTCATCATCTCTGCATTCCACTTAGATTATCTCAGATTATTATCAGCCATAAAACAACGGCATCTGCCTCAGTCTGGTCCCCTTCTATCCTTTCTCTACAGCACTCTACAGTGATAAATAACAATATTATTCTTAAAATATCAGTTTGTCGGGCTGGCCAATTAGTTCAGTTGGTTAGAGAATGGTTCTAATGCCGCAAAACACAACAACTAATGCCGCAAAACACAACAAAAAATCAGTTTATCGAATTATAAAATACATGCTTCTTGCAGAAAATCTGGAACAAAAATTGAAAAATATATAAAGAAAACTTAGAATGACTTGCAATCCAATGGACAGCCACAGCTTAAATCTTTGTGTACCTGCTTAGAATTTTATGTATGCATGCACACATTAGCTATATAAGGAAATGTTTATGTAAATGTTTATATATAGTTATATAGTTATACAAAATATTAGAAAACCAAGACCACATTGTATATAGTTGTAGGGGTTGAAAATATCTTTCTTTCCCATTGCTAGGTTTATGGCTGAAGTCCCTAAAAGATTATTAAGAGAAAAGCGTACAAATTTATAAATTTTGCGTGACATGGGAGCCTTCAGAAATGACCTAAAGAAACAGGTAAGCTTGTGTAATTTTATGCTTGGGTTTGATGAAGAGTAGATAGTTGTGAAGAAGCATGATGGAACAAAGTGGGAGTGTAATCTAATGGTACTGGGGGGAACTTAGTCAGGTCTGTTGGTTCAGATTCTTCTCTGTGTCCCTGTGTGTTCACAAGTAAGGATGTTCCTTTCGTCCAGGAATAGGGTGGGCACCTCTTGAGTAAGGGACTTATGACTCGCTTCAGGAAAGAGGGGAAGGAGAGTGTCAGAGAGTGACCTTCCTAGGTTTTAAGACCTGCTTTAGGGGAGAAGAGCGAGGGGAAGGTGAGAAAGAACTTTTGCTTCTGCAGTTTTCTCAAATGTCAAAGTGCCCTAATTTGGGGTAGCATGTCCTGAACCCCATCAGCATGTTCTATATCCTTTTTTCACTTAAAATACTGTAATTTTCCAAATCAATAAAATATAATTTTCAAAGTACCTGTGAATAATGGTTGCAATATAATGAAATATATAATGGAATAGTGCCCTCTTTTTTTTCTCTCTCTTTTCCTCAACACTGTGAATAATGGTTGCAATATAATGAAATATATAATGGAATAGTGCCCTCTTTTTTTTCTCTTTTCCTCAACATCAACAGTTACACTGAGTATTTATGTCATATGAATCACATGAACAGAGATTTAGGTTGGAAAGAGGGAAGGAGAAAAATCTAGAACACTCACTTTAAGTTTATTTACATTTATTAGGTACTGTTTAAACGACCATATTTCCTGTAGTAACCATGTCTCATGCCTTGAAGCACTTATCCAACATAAGAGGTTAAAGAATACGTAGTAGGAGAGTAAAGTCAGGCTCAGTGGGAAAACCATTTGACAAAGTGCTTTTACTTCTATACACTGAATAACAAGAAACATAAGAGACAACCTGTGGGATTTTTGTCTTAGCTTGACTAGTCAGATAAAGGGATTTTCTTTGACTGACTAGTATCTGAATAAAATATATTTCAGTGCCAAGAAGATTGCCTCATGTTTTGTGCAAGACACATTGTCAATGTTCCTCTTCTACTAGAGGCTGGGAAAAAAGATGTGTATACATTTTTTAGTTCACATTTTACTTCTCAGAAAAAACATTAACTTCACAAATAATATGTACGTTTTAAAGTATCTGGTAAATTGTCAAATTGCCTTCCAGAATGGAAGTTATCTTTTCAAAAGACAAATCTAATCACGTTATTTCCCTGGTCAATTTAATCTTTTAAAGGTGTTTCATGTTTTCAGGATGATGGTTAAAAATTAACTTAGTGCATAAAGCATCCCACGACCCCTCTCTGGTCTCTCCACTCATCTTACACTTCTCCAGATTACTTCTCATATTTCCCATACTTTAGGGCCCCCAAATGTCTCATTATTCCATATTAATTCATGTCATAGTACTTCTGCACCTTCTTTTCTGTGCTCAAAAAAGCCCTCCTTCCCTTCTCTCATTTTCACCAGCCTAATCCTACTTTTTCTTTCAGGACTCAGTTCAGGTGGTCATGTCCAGCTGTGCAAGACCATCTGAATTTCATTTCTTCTCCCAAAGTGCCCTCTGCCTACTTCTAGCATATGTTGATCTATAATTGTTGATTCTTGCCCTCTTCTTGAAAATAAGGCATTTTAAAAAATTTGTATTCCTTGTATTTAGTTGTCATACATGCAAAAAAAAAAAAAATACATGTTTTTAGTCTCATCTCCCACATACACTAGGGTAAAGGCTTCATTGGCCTTAGCAAAAAAAAAAAAAAAAAAAAAATCTTCCATCCTCCCACTCTCAGCTAAGTCCCAGATGTTAGAAAAAATCCCATTTGGCCCCAGGTTCAGTGGTATTTCTGAGGGAATCAACTCAGTCTACAGGCTGTGGGCTACTTCAGATCACTACTGCACATGGATCTTATCCTTGGTGTTTTTGGTCTGACTAAAGCATATTCTCTAAAAAATTAAAGATGGATCTACATTCAGGTTAAGCAGGTGCTACATTCGTTGTTCTAATTTAGTATATTTTCTCAAAATACACTATTATTTTGATACTATATGCCATTCTTCTCTGGATCTTCCTGATACCCAGAATTGGGTTTCCTTTGACACTTCAAAATACACAGGGTGTCTGAGCATGTTTTTTAATAGTTCTATTATAATTGCAATAATAGGAATAGGCAGATACGAGAATCTTTTTTTTTTTTTTTGTCTTTTTTCCGTGTCCGGCAACGGATCGCAACCCTCAGTGTCGCCCCCGTACCGGACCGGGGACCGGCAACGGGATTGCAAACCTTGGCGTTGCTCCCGCGCCTCGCTCAGCCAGTGAGCGGGAACCGGTCTGTATGTGGGATCCGAACCCTCAGGCGGGAGCGCCACCGCGCTTCCCAAGCGGCGCACTTATCCAGTGCGCCACCGGGCCGGCCCCAAGATACGAGAATCTTTATCTAACTGAGAAATGACTTACTAAGGTCAAACGGTTCAAGAGTGTCAAACTTGCAAGGAATAAAAGACATGAGAACTATGCACCTATTTTTCTGTAAAAAAAAAATAAAAATTTAATCATGTTCAGAATGAGAATTCCAAATATAAACACATTACATATATTCATAAGATAATCTCAGTATGATCTAAAATAAAGCTTCAAAGTACCATAAAATTTAATAAGCAACTATATTTTAAATAACATTCTTAACCCTGCCCTTAAGATTACAGTAAACATTTAACAATTTTTATTTTATTAATGAAATTAGATCTTTACATACAAAATCAGCATTGTACTTGCAAAAATAATAAAAACTTCTTTATTAAGGAAATATAAGAACTGCTTCAATAAAAATCTAATGCAAATAAATTAAGACAATGGTTTTATTTGCCCCATATCTCTATTTTTATCATATTTTTTTTATTTTAATGTCTCAATATACATTGTAGTTGATTTTCATGACCCTTTACCCATTCCTCTTTCCCCTCCCATCATATCTGTTCACTTCTCTTAACAAGTTCAAGGAATTGTGATCA